AATCGAGGACGTCACCTCGCTTCAGAGCGACAAGGTGCGACTCGTGCTGGCGGCCAAGATACGCACCAACGCGCAGCAGCAAGAGCGGCATCTGTCGCAGCAGCAGCAACAGCAGCAGCAGCAGCAGCAGCAGCACCAAGGGCTGGCTACCCGTCGGTGCGCCGAGAACCTGCCGGAGCCCGTCTACCCCGCGGCGCAGCTGCCCAACTCGCACGCGTACCCAGCGGTGCCGGGCGGCAGGAACGGCACCCCGTCTCCGGACGCCGACGCCGACCCTGGGCGGCCGCACGAGTGCCGCCAGTGCGGGCGGCGCTTTGCCAAGTCGGACCAGCTGACGGGTCACATGCGCATCCACACGGGCGAGAAGCCGCACCCGTGCGACTTGTGCGGCCGCACGTTCTCGCACTACGGCAACCTGAAGACGCACCGGCGCACGCACACGGGCGAAAAGCCGTACCGCTGCGGCGCCTGCGGCCGCGCCTTCTCGCAGTGCTCCAGCCTCAAGACGCACCAGCGCATCCACACGGGCGAGAAGCCGTACTCGTGCGACGTGTGCCCACGGGCCTTCGCGCAGTACTCAAGCCTCAAGTACCACATGCGCACGCACACGGGCGAGAGGCCCTACACGTGCCAGGCCTGCGGCAAGAGCTTCAGCATGTCGAGCCACTTCAACAGGCACAGACGCATGTGCTCGAACGCGCTTGTGTAGAAAGGTGCGGCGGCGGGCGCCATCGGGCTCGTTGGGTGGGGGTGGTCAGGTCTAGGCGTGGTCTCGGTGAGGAATCAAGGTTGGCGGGCGCGGGGGCAGCTGGATGGACGAAGGAGAAGTTGGGAAAAGGCTGCGTTGTGTTTGCAAGTGCGTTGTTTCCCCACGCCGCGCAGAAGGATCGTGACAAGGAAGCGGGGGAGTTTGCTGTGAACTCCGCTGACTGCGATCTACGAAGTGGCCAGGCTGCACGGGGCTTGCAGGCATGACAGCAAGCGGCAAGCTGTACACACAGCTGACTAGACATTGGATTGGGGTGCGCTTTTGTTTGCACAGCAAACGCGATGGAGACGTTGAGTTGTCGACACAACAAAAGCACACCTTCTTGGTTCTTTCAGTAAAGTGACGTAGAAGGGAAATAATAAAATAATAAAAATAAAACATAATAAAATAATTCTCACGACGTTTCGGCCACAACGCAAGCAGCCGTCCTCAGGTGAAGACCAGGTCTGTCGGAAAGACGGCTGCTTGCGTTGTGGCCGAAACGTCGTGAGAATTGTATTTTATTATGTTTATTTTTATTAATTTATTATTTCCCATCTACGTGACTTTACCGAAAGAATCAAGAAGATGAATCCCTGCAGTCACGAAAGCTTTAAATCGAAAAGCACACCAGTTAGGCACACGGCAGGTCCAGAATGGATGGGCTGTGTATGTACAGCAGACCAGATTGTGAATTTCTCATACAACAGGTGAGAGAGCTTTGTTCGCTCTCCGTGCGTGCGGTGTCCTTTTTCAAAGACGTTGGCAACCATGGCCATCCATCTCCCATTAACTCTGTCCTTGATATTTACTCAAGAACTTGGCATTTGATACTCCTTCCCAGTTTTAATCCAGTTGTTCAAATTGCTGAGGTGCGCTCTGTGTGTTTCTGTTTATAATTTATTGGTGTTTTTTGTTTTAATCCTTCATCGAAATCGCCCTTACTTATTCGATCTCGAGAAAATGTTCGTGGCTTCCTGTAAATAAAGTTTTTTTTGCAAACCGTATCTTTTCTGTAAGTCGGTTTCGTGAAAGCTCGTAAGACCCATCGTCCATTATCGTCGTGACCTCGGCACCTTCTGAATGTCGCTGAATGCTTCTCGTTTGGTGGCCACCGCACCCTGCTGCTGCTGTCCACCGGTTGATGAACTGCTATACTATTTAACACACGTAGGCTTTCGCGACCGGTGCGTTGGAGAGCGAGGCCACAACTTTTACAATCTGAGTACGGGTACCATGGCCAGATTTTAAATGTTGTGGCTTTATACTCTTTGGTTCTTTCGGTAAAGTCACATAGGTAGAAATAAAAAAAATCACGTCGTTTCCAACGCAACACAAACGTCCGTCTTCAGGTGAAAATCGCGATAGCTGCGATGTCTGCTACGAGCAGCACAATGTCTGCTCGAAACGTCGTGATTTATTTTCTTTTATTTCTACCCACGTGATGATGATTGCTTGTCGATTTGAAGCTTTCGTGACTGCAGGGATTCATCTTCTTGGTTCTTTCGGTAAAGTCACGTAGAAGAGAAATAATAAAATAATAAAAATAAAAGACAGCATCTGAACGACAGACCTGTTCTTCATCTGAGGACGGCTGCTTGCGTTGTGGCCGAAACGTCGTGAGAATTGTATTTTATTATGTTTTATTATTTGATTATTTCCCTTCTATGTGAATTTACCGAAAGAACCAAGAAGATGATTGCTTGTGTTGCAATCGAAACGTGATTAAATGTATTTATTTATATATTTATTTTCTTATTTTTTCTTCACCTACGTGACTTTACCGACAGAACCAAAGAGTATGGATTCCTGCAGTCACGAAAGCTTCAAATCAAGATTGTTGTTGCTTTGCTCTCCAACACACCCATGTGCTGTACTAGTAACGAATTGGCATGTTCTGTTCACGTGACAAAGCTTACTAATTAGCTGTGTCGGTGGTGGTGGGTTTAACGACACATTTATATATACGATCTAACCCAAAAACCCCTGGATTATGGATACTATTTTTTTTTTAGACGAGGCAAGGCCCATTGAGTGTTTTTACAAGTGACCTCGCCGCAAATGATAGCGCAACGAAGTGGCTTATCGTTGATAATTGGTTTTTTTACCCTTTTATCTGGCAACAAACTGAACACTTTTTTACAGGGAGTCATGTTTACATTGACCACAATACTTGCAGTCATAATGCAAACAAAAACCACACTCTGATAATGTATGCACTGTCCTTGAAGTTTATTGGTACCACACCCGAGACAGCTTTCCTTAGAGCCTAGTCTCCAAATGGTGTTGGACCAGATGAACGCCAAAAGGCGCACAACTCAAAGACAATGCACCATCAGAGTTATGTTTTTGTTTGCATTCTGACCGCAGGTATTGTGGTCTATGCAAACACGACTCCTTGTAAAAAAAAAAGGTGTCAGTTTTGTTGCCAGATAAAAGGGTAAAAAACAATTATCATATTTTTACTGGCAAATGAGGTTCCAATGGTGGCATATCGTTGTGTGTAAATGTTTAGCAGCGGCCAAATACTCGCATGTCTAAATGTGGAGTGGAAAAAGACCAGGAGGCCCGGAGAATCATCCACGCGAACACGGGGAGAACATGCAAACTCCAAATATACGGCAGGCGTCAGCGTTGGGATCCAACCCGCGACCTCCTGCATACCAGGCGAGGTAGTTAACATCTCACACGGGTTGGATGTCCCCGGGGCAATTTCTCGCCATGTGCGAATATTACCAGGAGCGTTTTACATGAACACGCAATCCACCTTTGTTCGTTCAGCGGGTGTTTAGTGTCATTGTCACCACTTGAAATATTTGTTTTTGTGTGATTTGTTTTTACCTGTTCCTGTACTTTGCAATCCTCTCGTGTTTTTTTGTATTTGTTATTGTAACTTTCTGATCCGCCCCTACTGGACATCTGTGATGAAAAGAGCTTCATAGCTCATCGGATTCCTCCAGAATTAACACATTCCTGCGGAGGGAGCTGGTAGGAACGCGGGTTGCTCGGTCAATGGCCCAGGGTCAACGGCAGCGTGGTGTATTCCGCAATATGGCCCGACTGTGAGGGCGGGCACAAGCCGGCGTGAGTAGGTTAAACGTTGAGTTTTATAAGGGCACCACGGGGTGACCAGCCCCTCCCCACCCAGCCCCTCCCTACCCTCCCCTCCCCACCCAGCCCCTCCCCACCCACCAGCCCCTCCCCACCCTCCCCTCTCCACCCAGCCCCACCCCTCCCATTTTTGGATGCAGGACGGACGGACACAATAATCCCTTGTGGGCTGGTGGAACCAGGTGGTTCCTACCAGTATAATAATAAAAACGAGCTATAAAGTAGCTCAGTGGGGCCTTACCTGGTAAGAAATAAAACATTGTTTAGTTTAACACGTAGACTTTTGGCGACTAATTAACATAAAGGGTTTTTTTGGGGGAGGGGGGGGGGGTTTAGATCGTGTAAATACAAATGTGTGAGAGAGCGCTGAACCAGTAACGAATTGACACGTTTTGTTGACGTGACAAACCTGATATTCTTGGTTCTTCGGTAAAGTCACGTAGAAGGGAAATATTAAAATAATACAAATATAAAACAATCAAATTGTCACGGCGTTTCGACTACAACACAAGCAAAGATGTGAAAATGTTCTTGCTGTGGATTTCACACCTGATGATGATTGCTTGTGTTGCAGTCGAAACGTCGTGAGAATTTTATTGTTTAATATTTTTATAATTTTATTATTTCCCTTCTACGTTACTTTACCGAAAGAACCAAGAATATGACGCATTTATATTTTACACGGCCTAACCCTTAAAAAAAAAACTTCATGTTTCAACAACATTTTAAAATATGTTCGTTTTGACCCCGTGCCCCTGCTTACTGAGACATTACAAAAAAAGAGCTTAATAGCTTATCGGATTTCCTCCAGTATTCAATTAAAAATAAACAACATTCTAGTATACGCGTCGGCTTTCGCCAACAATATTCATTATATAAATGTGTCATTAAACCCGACAGACAATTTAGTAAAGGGGTTTGTTCATGTTAACAAAACGTGGACAATTCGTTGGGGGCCGTCCATAAATGACGTCACGCACCTAGGGGAGGGGGGGGGTCAGACATTTGTGACGATGTGTGACGAGGAGGAGGGGGGGGGGGTTGAGAAATGTGACGTCACATCAAAATGCACAACTTTGAATAAATATAGACAACACGTTATACTTAATTAAATAGACTTTGTAATAATGTTTTATCCTACAACATCAGAGTGCAGCACCACATTAAATACGCAACTACAATGACAATAGTTTAAAGCGATTTGAAGCATGTTTTAAAAAAAAAATTGGGGGGGGGGGGGGGCAGAGCTTTGTGACGTCATATTTGAGGAGGGGGGTCTGACTTTTTGTGACGCCGCGTGACGATGAGGGGGGGGGGGGTCAAAAATCGTCCAAAAATCGCGTGACGTCATTTATGGCCGGCCCCTTACTGGTACAGCAGCACGGGTTGTATGTTGGGAGAGCAAATCCACATGTACAGTACAGGGCAAAGGTACTCAGATTATAGTAGTAAGTTTTTACCCTTTAAACTGGTACAAACTGACACCTTTATACAAGGTGTCAGTTTTGTACCAGTTTAAAGGGTAAACCCCTCCTACTAATATTTTGCCACTGGTAAAGGAAGTCTCATAGTGTACTCAGATTGTTAATGTTGTGGATTTGCTCTGCGTAGATAAGTAAATTTTATTTATTAATTATAACCTATCTACGTGACTATACCGAAAGACCCAAATAACATGTAAATCCTGGCGGTTAAAGGTCGAGATTGACAATAAAATTAATTAATATTAATAAGTTATTGTTGCTGTTGCTGCCGGGCGCGGCGAATCTGCAGTCGCGGCGCGCGACGCCAACTTCGGCGCTGACGTCACCCGGCCCGGCACGCGCGGGGCGCCAGAGGTGATT